CATACACACACACACACACACATATATATATATATATATATACATATATATATACATATACATGTATCCATGCATCCATTTCGGTACCACAAGCTCTGTCAGCTTGCCCCTCCACCACGTGTAAGGTTGTAGGGTTTTGGCTGTATGTCTTGGGCATGGTCTTTCTCTGTCATCCCGTGCTCGTGCTTGTGCGTGTCTTCTGCTCGCTCGTCATGCGCATGCGTCCCTGCATACAGCGGCTGTAGTTGTGCATGCTGTTTCTGTCGACGTCTTCACACACGCTTGGCCTGTGGTCTTACGTATCGTCTCTATCTCCACACACTACCCTCGCATTTCTCACATACCATCTCACATACCCTTTCTATCTCCACACACTACCCTCGCATTCCTCACATACCATCTCACATACCCTCTCTATCTCCACACACTACCTTCGCATTCTTCACATACCATCTCACATACCCTTTCTATCTCCATACACTACCCTCGCATTCCTCACATACCATCTCACATACCCTCTCTATCTCCACACACTACCCTCACATTCCTCACATACCATCTCACATACCGTCTCTATCTCCACACACTACCCTCGCATTCCTCACATACCATCGCACATATCCTTGAACAGGAGTCCGAAGTAGAGGATGACGAGGAGCAAGTGGGAGGTACGGACGACAACGATGTAGGTACGCCTGCACCAACACCCGCCCGAGGCAGTGCCGGTAGCTCAAATCACTTGGGCGTGTACGGTATGTGCATGCGTGTATATATGCACGAGTATCAAGCACAGATGGTATGTTCATGTGTGTACATACGCGAGAGAGTGTGAAGCACAGACAGTGAAGTACCTGCTGGCAGGGTTGTCGTGTGTGTGTACACCTATGTAGTCATCGCGTTTACTGTAGATCCCGCTGTGTGCATGCTCGTGAGTAAGCACACATAGTATGTCCACGTGTGTGCATATCAATAAGTGTAGCGCTCATGCTGTATGTCTGTACGTATGCACCCCTATATACTTGTCGCATATACCGTCATCCCTTCTGCGTGCATAGCGTGAACGTTGGACACATAGTATGTTTATGCGTGTGTGACCCTATGTTATCATGCGTGACCTTATGTTATGTGACCGTACGTTATCAACGCAGATAACCGCACTCTCATGCGCGTGCATGCTCGGAAGTATTGAGTACAAACTATGTTCTCATGCGAGTGTATACGAGTAGGCTAGGTGCACATACTATATATATGTGTACAATCTCTTGGCCGTATGATAGGAGTGCAGAAGCAAACTGACGGAGTGTGTACTGAAAAATTTGTTTCTATGCGTTTCGGGGCAGTGATAGTGTCGAATTTCCACTTGGCAACAAAAAACCTCCAGTTAAAGAGGTCATCCTTATTAGTGCTGTCAAACACGGGAGCATCCACTATTGCAGCACTCACATGTCCTGTCGTATGTGATCTACCGTCTTTACTTCTCGCTCTTATCTTATCATTCATCCACTCACCCACACAGACACAAATGTACTTGCCACTCTAGTCTTATCATCCACCCACTCACCCTCATCCACCTACTCACCCTCATCCACCCACTCACCCACACAAACACAAATGTGATTCTCACTCTAGTCTTATCATCCACCCACTCACCCACACAAACACAAATGTGCTTCTCGCTCTAATCTTATCATAACTTACGGAACACAATTTAGTTATAAGCCTCATTGGCTGAATGTTATCATAACTTACGGAACACAATTTAGTTATAAGCCTCATTGGCTGAATGTTACCTCACGCGGACGTTTGTGCCGTTGCACAAGCTCAAGTGTGTACTCATTTCGACCCCAATTAATGGTCACCGCAGATTATAAGAGCAAGGACGGGGCAGGCACTCACCTTACCACTGAGGCAGACGCCAGCGATAACAACTTCTCAGACAATCGGGAGGATGAGGAGGTATGTCACACGTGTTGTTGACGTGCTCATAGGCGGTGCTGTGCGTGTGTAGTATAGGGTTTATAGTGAGAGTGTTATTCGACATTGCCGCAGGATACATGAGGTGCTATCTTACCCTGTCTGTATCTTCGTGGGGCATACAGTCGCTGTGGCAGATCTGAAATACCGATATATATATATGTATATATATATATCTATATACATATATATATATATACATATA